TCGTATGCGGTTCAGTGTCTGCTAAAGTGTGGTGATTGCTCGGCCGGCTGGTTCAGCGGCATTGGCGTTGCCCGAGTGGTTAATTTCTTTGGCTAAGCTGAGCCTCGGTACCCACTATGTGCTGGGCAGGTCATTGTATTTGGCTAGGGGGCCCGTAAACCAAGACTCAAGCAAGTCACGGCTCACGCGATTATCACTCCTCGCGAAAATTTAGGCCCCGTGGAACTCGAATGAGCCGCGGGTGGCGAATTGGTGTCTTTCATCCACACCGCTGTTGCCTGTTCAGATATTCGCGTTTGGAGCAGTCTTGTTGTTTGTCCGACCTGGTTGATTTGTCCCCAGCTACACCACATCCGATAAATGACTCCAGAAGTTTCCTGCCCCGTGGCAGTTGGTCTTTTGGTTCTGTTCGCCGAGATCGGAATTCTCGCGAGACATGACAATCGCGTGAGCCGCAAGCTGCTAGAGCCATGGCTCGCAGTCTCCAGTCTATTAACAAGTGGGACAGTTCAGCCGGCGATTTCAATGCGGTTCACCGTATGTTCCACAACAGGGGGTGCAGAGACAGGGACTTACGTGCGAATTAGTTTTAAGTAGTAGTAGACTTGCCCGGCATCTATTGCACTGTCTCTTCCCCCATCCACCTGAGTCCACTGTCAAGGCAGAGTCAAGAAGATCGGAGGTGGGAATGGGTGCAGGTGGCTGGCGCAGCCAAAGACGTCGATATGCGTGCCACAATGCCACCATTTTGGCATTTGTTATCCACGCACAACCCTAATAACGCCTGCCGTAGCCTGATCTAGCTAAAATTTAATTAGGATAAAGCCCTTACCTATTTGGACAGCGCACACGCGAACATTTTCTCAAACGCCAGTGCGGGTAAACCAGATAGTCGATCATTTATTAGACAAACGTGCAATATGGTGGCGAAAATTCAGAAATTAATGCCGCGAATTCCAGCCATCCAGCAAGTGGCGCACCTGCGGGGCAACCATCCCTGATGCAGTGCTGGGAATGCGCCCATTTCCATGATTTCTCATCTCACAGAAAGGCCGCAAGTGCAGATCATGCCACTGTCACGGGATCGCGCCGTGACTATCGATTTTTCCTCCTAGCTGATTGGCCCACTGACTCAGCTATGTGCCTCGCGTTTCCGCTTAAGTACATGCAGCCTTTATCTGAGAATGACTTGCTCTGACTTTCTGTAACGTGCTTGTCTCAGTAAACTCCCTCTCTGGCCAACCGGTCTTCTCTCTCTTTCACTCTTACGGGTTCTTTGGTTCGGCGTTCGATTTAATTAGCAGTACCAGGCGCGGGTCATAGCACAGAGCGTGCCGTTAATTGTCATGGTTGCGCGGCAGAATACTGACTACATCCTATCGATACTGTTATTTCCTGTGCACTGATTGGTGACCCGTATCTGATAATGACTTCAAGAATGAAACCAAAACACTAGACAAGTCAAGTTCTTCTCCTAGCTAGTGATCACGTTTGCTTCTCATTGACCTCCCCAGACTCGCATTTTCGCATGAATGAGGTAACTGTTGGCTGTTATGTTAGAGGACGGGGAATTTATGTAATTATTACCTCAATCACCGACGAGGTATACCGTTTTAGAAACCAACAATAGATGATGGTTCACGGCACAGTCGTTGTGAGTATTTAAGGCTGTAGGGTTAAGATCGACACCAAAGAATAGACTGTATGCTAGGCCCATTGGCCTTTCAGACGTTGCGCCTAAGGTTAATCATTTGAATTTAGGTCGCATCAGGCCTTCGGTTATGGCAAGCCTGGTAGTTTAAGATCCAGCTTCTGGATAAAACACCTGCAGACCTCGATTGGAAGATCGAGGGAGCGAGAATTGTCCACCAAAAGCATGAATACTATTAGCAGTGGATTTAATAAGTTTAGCAGTATAGCCTACTAAAATATTTAGGGTAGATAGTTACTAGATAGGATACTCATGGTAGCTGTATTTTCTTAAATACATGCCTAACCCTAAAGACGACAGAGGTTGAAAGGGGTAAAACACTGTCTTATAAAGTATGTTGTGATATTTCGATGATTAGACTGATTGCGCAATTGGAAATTAGACTGTCTCCTGCAGTTCGATGTTCGCGTTTCCGCATCAATAATGTTCGTTTGGACTAGTAAACAATTAGCTGCGTAATGACTAGCATATTAAGACCTTTACAATGATCCTTCGGTTCCGTAAACTAAAGCTGGCTTGGGAAGTAGACTTGGACATTTTCAGTGTAGTTGACATTGGTCAAAAATTGACTCGATTGTCACACGATTCTGTTTAAAAAAATCTTCGTATTAACCTTAAACAGACTTCTTGCAGGACGCCGCACTAGCCTTAGTCCTTTAGAACAAAATAACCCTGCTGAATCTTTTTGTTCCCAATTTTTAAGCACTATACCGTGACCAGTGTTCCTTTAGGCCTCGCACATGAAACACCAGTGTCGTCGTTACGCTGGACCCCGAAGATGACAAACATTAACTTTGCCTGCTTGTATAGAGCACAGCATCGATAGAAATCACTAGTAGCGGTGAGAGGCCAAATTATCAACGAAAACATGGTTGTTGTGAGCGGCTGTTTACAAAGGGTTCCACCGTCCTCGATATCGCGCCATGCCAGGCAATATGAAAGATTATACATAATAGCTACTGAAATATATTAAGTAGATGTTTTTAAAGGGTTGTATTGCTGACCATATTTTGCACACTGTGGCCTGAAGGTTGAAATGTAGGATACAACAGCCTGTAAGCTGCGTCATAAGCCATATCATGGTGTTTTGTTAATAGATCTCACTGCGCAATTAGAACAGAGACCCTATCGTGTCACTAGAGGTCCACATTTCCGCGTCAATCGGCTTAACTTGCAGTAATTAAGAGGTTGCCGTATGATTACTGGCCTATTTAAGCCCCCCAGTCATATTAAAATGTGTTATCTCATGAGCTCTTGTTACCGTAGCTCAGCTGAGCGTTGCACTTTGATACTTTAGATTTTCTTGAAGTTTACCTCCATTTTACCCTGGAAACATTTTGTTATTGCCGAGAGGTCACTCAATGTTAGCTGTCCAGGAAACTTTTTGACTAAATGTTCCACCAAAGTTCTACATACACTTCTTGAAAGCCCTCTTACTTGCCTTATTTATCCAAAAAAACATAGCGGAACACAAAATGAATTTAAATAACGAATCTTCAGTGCGCTTATTGTCA